CCCCCCCCCCCCCAACCTCCCCACTCTTTCCGTCGCGTTGGTCTAAGTCCTCGAGGCGGAGAGAAAGGAACCAGAGTGATGAACGGCTACCTATGGCGTTGCCATGTGGCCTCGGTCACGTGGGTTCGTGACGTAAGGGGTAAAAGAATCTTGAGGCCATGGGGCTTCCCCTGACCTAGATTCTATCTCTCAGTCACCGGCAGAATCGCTGATTAATGCCTACGACCGGAGTCTATGGTGGGTATGAACTATGTGAATAGGCGGGTTCGGAGACCCCACGCCTAAATTTGTAGGACTTTACAAACCTGTGCAAGATGAACTATCGGATGAAATTGTTCTGTTTCTCGAGCCTTGTTTCATCTTAGACCCAAACACAGATCTTGTTCCATCTATGATTTTTCTCAACAAAAATTTAAACAGATTTCTTTAAATTTATACCTGATTTGCGTGCATTTTTTTTTTTATTGTCAGTAGTTTTTTTTTTTTATAAATTTTGTGGTACAAATTGAATATGCATAAAAAAAAATTTAAGATTTTCAGAATATGAACATGTAGATAGCACCTAGAAACTGGGCGATGAATAACCCTTTGATTATGCCACTCAAAGGGTTAACCTTTTCACCACCAGTACCCTGTTTTCATCACAAAGTAGTTCCATTTGTAGTCTGCACTTTCCTTCAGAAGATTGGGACAAAAATTTCCAAATTTTCTGAGTAAAAAATGAAAATGGATTCAAATTTTATTTGATGGCTCCAAAATCACGGTTCATTGCAGATATATTGAGGAATATAAACGAAAAGTACAGAAAAATTTGAGAGAAAATCTGGTGGTGAAAAGGTTAAATAAAAATAATTTCTAGCCAATCTACGAGCTGCCATTTGATGCATTAGTGATTACAGTATATAAACACTAATGTGCCAAAAAAAAATGTTTCAGAAATGGTAAAAAAATTTTGCAGCCATTTTGCTTTTTGCAGTGATATATTTGAACTGAAATATATTTTATGGTGTGATTTTATTTTAAATTTATATTCTCATAGATGCAAATACTTTTTATATTTACCGTATTTGCTCTATTAGTTTCGTATATGCTTACATAAATTACTGAAGTGTTTCTATGGTCAGTAATGTAGGTTGATATTTTAATTATTCAGTGTACAACAAATGCTAATTATATGCGTTTCTAATAGAGTACTGGTAAATGTAATATTACGTTCATGCATCATAAATTTGAGTTAGTGTAGTTTATTTTGAATCTACTTTTTATGTTTTCATTTTGACAATTTTTGCGGAAGAATTAAATGTTGGTTTTGTGATTTTCTGTTTTTAATTTGACAATTTGTTTTTTACTGTAGCTAGAAAAATATATTATGTTGGTAAATTTCTAAATTTATTCAGCTGATTTAAAACTTATTTTTTGTTGTTTTTGAGAATGATTGTATTAGTCATTTAGTCAGCTTTTCCCATTTTGTTTCTAAATTTTATTTTTAGACAAATTTCTTAGCAACTTGTAATATTAAACAGGGACAAGTTGTTCAATTCTCTGTCTGTGTAGCTGGTCAGTTAACAAATTGAAATATTCACAAAATGTTCCTTTTGAAATTTTTTTTCTAGATTTTGCAATGTTTTGCATAGTAACTCAGACCATTGTCTGACATCGTACTGAACATTATGTCAAGTTTTAATGTCTTGTATCTGTTTAAAAAAAAGAATCTTCAACTGATTTGGATAATTTTTTTTATGCATTTATTCAGTTTCTTTTTCAGACTTTGATCAAAATAACAATAGTGAAAACGTCTGCAGCAAAAGGTGGCAAAAGTTGATTGGCATTCATATTGGTTATTAGGAGTAAACCTTTCTGCAGTTCCTTTGTGTGGCATTTTGGCAATTTGAACAACCCAAAAAAATGCAATATCAGTATCGGATATTTTGATGCAAGTGCCAATAACTGAATAATCCGGTCATTGCACAAGTTTTTTTCAGTTTTCTCATGTTCTTTGAGTTGATTTCTCATGACACTATGAATAGCATGCCGAAACTCTATTTCAAACTCATACTACCTAAAGTTATCTTTATTACTCGGACTGTCTCCTTCTGGATGTGCTACCATTAAACGTCACATTTTGTTTTGCTTTTTTTGATATGTTTCAATATAATTAATGTGTGCTTAGATAAAACTATTATGTGTGCATTAACTGAAAATCTCGGATTGTTTTTTTATTTTTAGTCATTTTGGTAATGCCATGGCTTATCCAATATTAATTGACATTGGACTTGTTCTGTAAGCAGGCATAAAACATGATTCTTTAGCTTTGTCCCAAAATGCAGTTAAACTGCCCGTAATATACATATTCATATAAACTTGATGGGCTGAAGTTGAAATGTCCAGTTAAGAAACTTTTATACTTTTGAACAACCTTCTTTGTAGAATAGTTTACATTGCCCACCATTTAAGGTGCAACTCAAGGATTTTATTATTGATGATTCATCAATTTTTATTTTTGCACTTTAATATATTACAAATCCTTGTTTACCCACCAATGTTTTACTTCTAGAGTACATTTATTACTTTTTGGGTAGGGGTCTTTGTTTTTAAATGTTTTACATTGATAAAATGTAGATTACTATTTAAACAAATTGATAATTTACTTATTGTGAAGTGATTATAAAATAAACTTGTAAATTGTGTGTTTTATATTCTCAGAATGTTTATGTTGTCAGTTGACTTGTATCTAATATCTAATGATGAGGATCCAGGATAATTCAAACACAGTAAAGAACATTTTGGTCCTGAAAGCACCAAGCACGACCATCCTATTCTGTGTCTCGTACCCCATCTCCAAATAGTCAAATTTATTTGCAATGTCTGAGAATGGGGCGGTTGCATTCTCATAGCTGTTGTCACTACTGGGAAAAATATTCATTGTGTTTAATTTTGACGGATTTGATGCTGCGTGGATTTTCACTGAATTGTGAAGAAAGCAATACAATCTATATAGAAATTTTAAAATTCACTAGCTTTTAATTAAGCTACCCATAAAAATCACTAAAATAAAACCAAGCAAATAATCGGGGGGGGGGGGGGAATACTACTGCCATTGTTGGGGGAAAAATTGGCATTTTCATATTAGCAGTGCGTTTTTTTTGTTGGCCAATCAACATCG